GACGGGTGCAGGGTTAATTCGATATAACGGCACTAAAGTCGACATAAAAGCCTAGTGTAGACCAGGCCTAAGTCTGTTTTGAATCCAGGTATAGTTTGCATCTTCACAACATCCCCTGGCAATAAGTTCCACAGGTTCACTACGTGTTGCATGAAGAAGTACTTCCCTTTGTTTGTTTTAAATCTGCTGCCTATTAATTTCATTGTGTGACACCTAGTTCTTGGGTTATGTGAAGGGGTAAATAACACTTCCTTATTCACTTTCTCCACACCATTCATGATTTTATAGACCTCTATCATATCCCCACTCCGTCATCTCTTTTCCAAGATGAGCAGTCCTAGTCCTTTTAATCTTTCCTCATATGGAAGCTCTTCCAGACCCTTAATAATTTTTGTTGCCCTTCTCTGTACCTTGTCCATTTCCAATATACCTTTTTAGATATGGGACGACCAAAATGGCACACAGTATTCAAGGTTTGGGCATACCATGGATGTTTATAGAGGCATTATGATATTTATTGTCTTATTATCTGTCCCTTTCCTAATGGTTCCTAATACTCTATTAGCTCTTTTAATTGCCACTGCCTATTGAGCTATCCACAATGACTCCAAGACCTTTCTTGAGGGATAACAGCTAATTTAGACCCCATTATTTTGAATGTGTAATGAATAGGGATTGTTTTCTAATATGCATTATTTTGCATTTATCAAAACTAAATTTCATCTCCCATTTTGTTCCCCAGTCAGCCAGTGTTATGAAATCCCCTTGTAACACTTTGCAATCTGCTTTGGACTTAACTATCTTGAGTAATTTTGTATAATCTGCAAACTTTGCCACCTTTACCCCTTTTTCCAGATCATTTATGAACATGTTGAACAGCACTGGTCCCAGTATAGATCCCTGGAGGACACTCTTATTTATCTGTCTCCATTCTGAAAACTGATCATTTATTCCTATCCTTTGTTTCCTGTTTCTTAATCAGTTACTGATCCATGAGGATCTTCCCTCTTATCCCATGACTGCTTAGTATACTTAAGAGCCTTTGCTGAAGGACAGTTTTTCAGAAAGCCTCTAGCAAAGTACACTATATCCACTGGATCCCCCTTGTCCACATGTTTGTTGACTCCATCCCTTCAAAGAATTCTAATAGATTGGTGAGGCATGATTTCCCTTTATAAAAGCCATGCTGACTCTTCCCCAAAAATCATGTTCATCCATGTGTCTGGTAATTTTGTTCTTTACTAATACTATAGATCCAATGAATTTGCCTGGTACTGAAACTGGCTTACTGGCCTGTAATTGCCAGGATTGCCTCTGGAGCCTTTTTAATTGGCATCATATTAGCTCTCTTCCAGTCATCTGATATGGAAGCTGATTTAAGTGATGGCTTACATACCACAATTAATAGTTCTGCAATTTCATATTTGAGTTCCTTCAGAACTCTTCGGTCAATATCATCCGATCTTGGTGATTTATTACTGTTTATCAATTTGTTCCAAAACCTCGTCCATTGACACCTCAATATAGGACAGTTCCTCAGATTTGTCACTTAAAAAGAATGACTCAGGTGTGGGAAGTCTCCCTCCCATCTTGGGCAGTGAAGACCAATGCAAAAAATTTATTTAGCTTCTCCACAATGGCCTTTTCTTTCTTGAGTGCTGCTTTAGCACCTTGATTGTCCAGTGGCCCCACTTATTGTTTGGCAGGCTTCCTGCTTCTGATGCACTTAAAAAAGATGATGATAGTTTGAGTCTTTTGCTAGTTGCTCTTCAAATTCAGAGAGAACATAAGACTGATCAGGGGTGATGTTCCTGCTCAGACAGCTGCAAGAACCTACCCATTGCACATGCAGTTGGAGAGCTCAGGAGAAGTCTTAGCAGCACCAGAAGCTCTGTGGAGGATTGGAGAATTGATGCAAATGAAATAATGCCGGCTTTGTGAGGTACATCTGGTACAGGGTTTAGTAAGTTGTATGTGGCTACGTGCCTCCTTTTGATTTTCAGAGCTTAACTAAAAATATAGGTAAGGTGGATATGTATCAACATAAGAAACTGGGAGAGAGGAAAAACTTGAATATAAAATTTTTGATTTAAAAAACACTGAAAAGTTGTTGTTTTTTAAAAATGGAAATACACATTTAAGGTACGTACTTTCCCCCTTCCCACAGACAACCTTAATCATGATCTTCAAAGAATAATAAAATGGTCGGGTTCTTTTTATGATATATAAAGGCAGGATTTTGTCACCAAAATTTTCCTTGATTTAGTTTAGCTTTAGTAATTCAGGGTGGGTCCATCCTCGTAGAATGTGTGATGACTGAAGAACATATGAAACATGAGATTGAGACTGGAAGTGGAGCATTTAAGAGGGGAAGGGATTTTGTGTCTGTTTAGAACTTTTGTTAAACCCTATTTAATTCCAGTGCTTAACTGACAGAGAAAAAAGGATGTTTTGGTTAAAAATCTGACATTGCCTTCAATTAAAGGCCTCCTAAAGTGGTAGGGAAAGCTTGTGGGGGTCAGAGCATCAATACTGTTTTACAACAAAGCCAAGGAAGGCTAAACTTGACACACCTAACTTTTTTTATTTAACTTTTTTATAAAGGCATCCTTTATGATTAACTGCTCCTCCCTCACATGCCAATTTAGCACCAAGCTTTAAGATAGCTAGCAAATATAAGACTATCTACGTAACAAGGCAGATATGCACGATAGTAGTAACCAAGGGAGGTTTAAAAAAAAATGCTGTCTTTCCTGCAACAGCTGTGCAGTTTTATACTAAGATGAAGCTTTAAGAGTATCTCAAGCTGTGCCTATTACGCTGCTGCAATATAACTGCTGGTGTATAAGATGCTGGGATGAGTCTATCACACTGCAGCAGGGAAATTCAGAACCATACAGTTGAGGGGGAAGTGGGTTGACAAATGAAGAACTGAAAAGGAAAGGAATTAAGCATGGCAGAAATACAGTAGATTTACTCTAATTAGCTGTTACATAGTGCTTGTTACCCAAAGATCTCAAAGCACCTTATATATATAGAGAGAGGAAACTAAATACAACTGTCCCTGTTTTACAGATGAGTTGAGAGGTGAAGTGATTGCCCCATGTCACACTTAAGTGGCACAGCCAAAAATAAAGCAAGGGTGAGTCCCAGTTCAGTGTCTTATCCCAAGGACTGCATTGTGACTAACTGTTCAACTCAGAAAATTCCTTTTTGACCATCTATCTGCCCTTTTTTAATTAACTGCTGTTAACAGTATAGCATCTTATAGTGTTCTAGCTATTAGTATAGAATTTGCAATGTTTGACCTATAATATTGTGCATAGGGACTACATAACTTCCCAGGCTGTTTTTATTATTCATTTGCTCTGAAAGCCTCTCCTCTGCAAGTAAGTTTTGTTATGGCATAAAAGTTATGTGAGCCATGCATTTACCTGATTTGTGTGCACCGTTGAACTGCAGGAGCTCTAACAACCTAATGGTGGTGCCTTTACCATGCGTTGTTAGTATTAACACTAGTTAAATTACTGTATTTGCATTACTCCAACAGTTCCCTGCCAAAACTTAACTCATGACTTAAAACCTACTTGCAACTGATGAGTGAAGCTTTCCCTGGCACTTCAAGAAGCTAAACCATCTGTTTTTGGATTTTTTTAGAAGTTTCTAGTCCATATGACTGTGAGGTGAACTTGAATAAACTGAAGCAATGTTGTCTTCCTGACTAAAGACAGATTGTTTCAGTCTCTCTGGGACTGCTCAAAGATCTTCCAAGCAGCAAACAAAGTAATAGCTCTCTAGACAGTTGGCATGCTGGTACTCAGAATCTGGTGGGAGAGTGGAAGAATGACAAAAAGAATGACAAAAAAGTGAATTTCACACTACTGCTGGAAAAGCTAGGGGCAGCACATGTGGCACCTGAGCTGTTGTCTCAGGAACAGAGGTAGATCTCCCCAATCTTGCATGACGACTTTAAGTAGTAAGTAAATAATAGTGAGATATGTCAGGGTCTGAAAAAGTTAGGTGGAAAGCAACCCCTCCCCCCAAAAAAAGAAAAGAAAAAAAGCTGCTTATTTCAAAGTTAGACAAAGGAACTGTGAAGTCAGTATGTAACTTATATTTTTAAAAGTACATATGTATTGCATATAGACAATTGAACACAGATGGACATTTAACTTAAATCATATTTCTATATGAAATCTACTTACTATAGTTACATGTAACATTACAGTGCCTGAACGATTAGACAAAAGCTTTATTTACCTTATACACCTGTATATTGTCAGATTCACTATTACCATGTATGTTGGACCTTCACCACATTTAAAAACAACTAAACTACTAAAATGGGCAGGGGAGTCAGCAGCAGGTGTAGTACCTGAAACTACTTAACTACATTATTGAAACAGAACAGACTGGTTGTTAAGTGTCTCAAAGTGATTAGAACTTAGTGTGTTTAAAAAAGTTTCCAACTGTTACTTGAGAATATATACAGAACTGTAAAAAAAAACTCAACTACTGTAGCTTACCATGATACTGCCTTTAATAACAGAACTTTTACATTTGCAGAAATGTAATTTAAAATCTCAGTAACTGCAGACTTCATATGAATAAAAGTGGTTCTTTTTAGTGTCTTCAGTGTACATAATTTGACAAAGAGATGAATCAATCTTTAGCACTGATGTGATTTTATAGGAAACACTAAATTGCACTGTCATCTTTTGTTCCAACACAATGACAGTAAAATTAGCTAGAAAGTATAGCAAACCAATTCACATTACAATCAATAGGATACTACAAGGTTTTGAAGGTGATAAGCAGTGCAAGTTTTCACTAGTTGTGTTTGTCATCTATTTCACAGACCCTCATGTAGCACTTTTTAACATATTTAAAACATGTTGTCCTTTATGTCTCCAAAGCATGGTAACAAAAATATTAACTAATCCACACAAAGGCTCTGTGAGGTAGGTAATCGTTTTTACTTACATTTTATGACAGTGAAGCTGAGGCAGGGAGGGTTTAAGTATTGCCCAAGGCCGTAATGTCTGTGTTAGATAAATGATTTCAAATTGATGAATTATTCGCTCCAAACCCTAGTTAGTTTAGTAGACCATGCTGCACACGTAGGCCTACATTTTCAAGTTCGGGTACTTAACAATTGGCACCTAAATTCATAGTTAGGTCCCCAAATAAATGGCTTAATTTTAGACCTTGTGGGTTCTCAGCACCTCTGAAAGTCAGGCCATTTATTTAGAGGCCTAAAGATGGATTTTAGGTACCTAACATCTAGATTAGGGGCACTTTTTTAACTAAGGCTAAGGTAGGCTACATGACAGATCAGAATTTTTTGCTGTTCTCATTTGACATTGATGAACTAATGGAAGCAGCTTGCCTTCCTGGTGAAGCTTTTGAGTATCTGTAGCACCTCCGATGAAAGCCCCATTAATAAACACTCTTGGAACCTGTTAAGTATATAAAAATTACATTATTAGTAAATTACATTAGTTATTGGAGGTAGGCTAAAAAACAAGTGTGGTCATGCATACTGCCATATAAACTTAGGAATGCTATACTTGACATACTTGCTATTTGATGCACCATATTAATGGACAGTCTTACATTTCCATAATAACTTTCTATAAAAGGGGTTCTGAGATGCTTTTTATTAAACAGAGGCATCACTGCACCTTCTCCTTAAAAGTAATATGTATCATTTGCACATCGGTTTAGAACATGCAGTGAAAAAACACTTGATTCAAATGAAGTTACAGGGAATTGTTACAAAGGCAGAATGTAATTCCAAAAGGTGCCAGGATACTGGGGCTAACACTTCTACCCAAGCAAAAAGTGTCCCTGATGGATTTCAGTTTTGTGTCTTTGATGTGACCTTTGTTTAAAGTCTCATCTGAAAGACAGCAGGATCAGCAGTACAGTAACTATCATGACTCTGGAGTGGTACGTCAGCACCATGAGGAATGTGAGATACCTTACAGAAGCTTTGCTACAGCTTCCTCAAGCACCTTGTGTTTTACTTAGGAGCTCATATATAAGGTTCAACGCAGCTAGCATGCAAGATCTGATGAGGTCACAATTGGTGGGCTATTGCTTCAGTGAATTAGCCCTCCCTCTATTTTAGTTACTACGTCTGAAAAGATGTACTCACCGTCCTGCCACCAGTCATTTGATGAAGAATGTCTTGAAACTGGCTTCCATTTTCATACATGTCTAGTTCTATTGCTGTGTAATTTACATTCATATCCTGGAACAGTTTCTTTGCCATTTTGCAGTAGCCGCACGTTGTTTTAGAGAAAATCACTACACAGTTGTCCGAAATGGTTTCCTGTATTTTTTTAAAAAAAAGGTTGAGTCAATGTATTCTGCACACGGGTACTAATTAAATGAATTAATTTATCACATTCTTAAAGATAAAGTCTTAGACAAAAGCAATATGTTTTGTCTTTTCATTATGGTAACAAATTCCAAAAATTATAAGTAGGTGTTTCCAATGAGGTCCCGCAAGGATTAGTTCTTGACCCTATGCTATTTAACATTTTTTATCAATGAGCTGGAAGAAAACAAAAGATCATTACTGATTAAGTTTGCAAGAGACACAAAGATTGGGGAAGTGGTAAATAATGAAGAGGATAGATCACTGTTAAAAAGTGATCATGATCACTCTGTAAGCTGGACACAAGCAAACAATATGTGTTTTGAAATGGCCAAATGTGACGTTCATATCTTGAAACAAAGAGTATAGGCTATACTTACAGTACAGGGGACTCTATCTTGGGAAGAAGAGAGTCTGAAAAGGATTGGGGGAAGGAGGGGTGTCATGGTGGTGGTGGATAATCAGCTCAACACAGGCTCCGAGTGAGACACTATGGCCAAAAGGGCTAATACAATTCTTGAATGTATAATCAGAGGAATAGCGAATAGGAGTAGAGGTGATATTTTACCTCTGTAAGGCATACATTTTAACAGCGAGGGCAATTAACCACTGGAACAATTTATCAAGGGCTATGGTAGTTTCTCCATCACTGGATACCCTTCTAAAAGTTCAAACAAGAATTTAATTCAGGGACATTGTATAGCCTGTGTTATGCAGGAGATCATTCTAACTGTTCACAATGGCCCCTTCTGGCCTTATAACCCATGAAGCAGGACTGTCTGGGCAAGAAGACTAGTACAAGGAGCTGGAGGGGAAACTAGGACTGGCTGGACAAGGAGAGCGGGATTTGGATGAGAAGCTGGAGGAGTGGAGACTGGGTAGGGGAGAAGAAAGGGACTGGGATGAGAAGCCAGGAGTGTGGAAGAGAAAGGACTGGCACAGGGACAAGCTGTAGAGGATGGGTGAGAAGGGGCCCCCACTTGAGCGGGGTAGTGGACAGAAGCGTTTGGGACCACTAAAGCGCACTCTCCTCTAAAACACACTCAAAAGTTAGAGGGACAGGCTACCTTAATACTGACGTTTCCTGACTTGAGTTCTTGATTTTGTAACCTTAATAATATACTTTTAACATAATGTGTGTGTGTAATTTTATATTGTTTGGGTGATAAAATGCAAGGGTGGTCCAAGGAAAACACCTCTAAAGAGATTTGAAGACAGACCATGGACAAGGCATGATAAACCCCAGGGAACAGGACACTGTAGGGGGCTGGAATGATAGGATGGACCTTTCCAAGAATCCCCAAAAATGTAACATGGCTGTGATAAGTCACCTAAAGGTAAAAATGATGCAGGTCTGACAGGCTTTGTAGTCAAAAGATGAATGTGGAAAAAAGGATAAAGTTCTTTCTAGAAATGTAAAACTATTACACCTCTACCTCGATATAACGCTGTCCTCAGGAGCCAAAAAATCTTACCGCGTTATAGGTGAAACCGCATTATATTGAACTTGCTTTGATCCACCAGAGTGGGCAGCCCCACCCCCCCGGAGCACTGCTTTACTGTGCTATATCCGAATTCGTGTTATATCGGGTCGCGTTATATCGAGGTAGCGGTGCACTTTACTGGAGCTAAACCTGAGATATTTTCTAGCTCTCATTGCTTAATTAATTGGTTTCATGGGATTTAACCCCTCCCCTCCTCCAAGACATCATCATTTAATAATGACACCAGTGGTGAACGTAACTGATTTAAACGGGACACTGTGAAAGTATAAGGGTCTGCCCACATGGATTAGATTGCAGAACTGGAGTTCAAAAGTATAATACATTATTTACTGGACTAAGTTTACAGATCAGATTCTGTAGCCTGATGTAAGAAAAAAGCAATCCTTGTACCAATTAGAAAAAAAAAAAAGGAAGTTAGTAAATTACTATCCCTTTTTCAAAGGCTAGAAATAATAATTCTTTCTGAATAATAAATGACCCCTTTATTTACCTGGATCTTGTTCACAGTAGCACCATTAGACAATCCCATTGAAGTAGATGGACTATTTCCCATTCTAAAAATAAAAATGTTAGATAGATAGACCTATAAAACCTCTTTTTGAAAAACTGTCACTCATTTTTATGGTTCTCAAGTTATTTTAAATATGATACTAAGGCCTTCTGTCAAAACAACTTCACTACCCCTACCCCATTTTTTACCTATCTGCAAAGTGCCCAGAACAGAGACAGCTTGACTCAGTCTATCCATACTTCAGAAACCCACTGGTATCCCACGATTTTGTCTCTGCAGGCTTTGGCATTGCACAGCAGTCATTACTTTGAACTGAATTACAGAAACATTACTTTTTAAAATGCCATCTAACAAAGGGATTATCTACATTAGAATGCTTTGCTTCTTTAATTATGCTGGTGTAATTGAAGTGGCAAACCCACCCTAGCCAGGATTCAGTTGCAGTGGTCCAAAGGTACCTGCACTGGTATAGCTTATTCTGGTCTGCCTGCTAGAGTTTACAGGGGTGTAACTTTATCCTCAACACAACAACAACCACACTCGATCTCCCTCCCCCAGTTTACTATACCAGTGTAACTCTTCCAGTCCTAGGAGACCAGACCGGTAATGGTATGGAGGGGATGTGTCTCTGTCCCCCGTTTGCCTTGGGCTCGGCTGATGCATCTGTCCGGATGCGGCGGTGCCGCTGACCTGTGAGGCAGGCAGACCCCGTGGGGGATCGGCTGCCGGCGGCTAGCAGGCTCAGCCGGCTTGGCTCGCTCCCTGCCGGGCTAGGAGTGCCCAGCACCAGGGGAGCAGATCCTGAGCGGGGCTCGGCCCCAGCGCCCTGCCCCGATGGGCGGCGAGGCTGGGCGCGGGCCGCACCCCTGCTCGGCGGCGACACGGGGTCGGTGACAGTGGGGCAGCCCCGCAGCGGCCACGGAACAAGCGGGCGACCCCACCGGGGGGAGAGGCCGAGCCAGGCAGGGCCAGAACCGCCCTTCCCCGGAGCCCCAGGTGGGTGCGAAGTCCCGACCCCGCCGCACGGACCTGAGCCGGCTGCCGGCGGCGCGCAGGGCTCCCCGCAAGGGCACCATGGGCTCGCCGGGCCGGGGGAGGAGCCCGGCCACCTCCTGCGCGAGCTGGGCTGCCCGCCACGCTGCCTGCCCGCGTCTCGCGCGACCCCCGTCGTCGCGGCCTCCTCCCTCCCCGGAGCCCAGGGACCGCCCCGCCCCGCCCCCAGCGCTGGCCCGGGAGAGCAGTCCCTGCTCCGCTCCCGGCAGCCATTTGTTGGTCTCCCCCAACCGCTTTCATCCACAACCCGACCCCACTCCACACCCTTGCCCCCCTCCGCAGCCATGGTACCTGAGCCGCCTTCTGCTACTGCATTAAGCGATGGGCGGCACATCTGTCAACCGGTGGTTGCGTGCTCCTGTCCCCTGGGGGAGAGATGGGCACAGTGCAGTGGCTTGTTTTGGGAGAGGCCAGTTAGGTGTTAACGCCACATTCTTATGTATTGGTGTCAGAGAAGGCAAGGTCAAAGAAACGCCTTGGCACAGGGAGCAGAAGGTGGTGAGGTTTGTGATGGTTCTTGGGTGAGTTTATGCCAGCAATGCCCCTCTGCCATGTACATTGGCCAAACTGGACAGTCTAGGCAAAACAATAAATGGACACAAATCAGACATCAAGAATTGTAAGATTCAGCAACCAGAAGGAGAACACGTCAATCTCCCTGGACACTCAATAACAGACTTAAAAGTAAAAACGAAGAGTACTTGTGGCACCTTAGAGACTAACAAATTTATTTGGGCATAAGCTTTCGTGGGCTAGAACCCACTTCATCAGACGCATGCAGTGGAAAATACAGTAGGAAGATATATATATATATATATATATAGTACATGAAAAGATGGGGGTTGCCTTACTAATTCTAACGAGACAATTCAATTACAGTGGGCTATCATCAACAGGAGGAAGAATCACTTTTGTAGTGGTAACCAGAGTGGCCCATTTCAAACAGTAGAGAAGAAGGTGTGAGTAACAGTAGGGGGAAATTAGCATGGGGAAATTAGTTTTTATTTCTTGTAATGACCCATCCACTCCCAGTCTTTGTTCAGGCCTAATTTGATGATGTCCAGTTTGCAAATTAATTCCAGTTCTGCAGTTTCTCGTTGGAGTCTGTTTTTGAAGTTTTTGTTGTTGAAGAATTGCCACTTTTAGGTCTGTTATTGAGTGTCCAGGGAGGTTGAAGTGTTAAAAGTGGCAATTTTTCAACAAAAAAAGTCAAAAACAGACTTCAATGAGAAACTGCAGAACTGGAATTAATTTGCAAATTAGGACACCATCAAATTAGGCCTGAATAAAGACTGGGAGTAGATGGGTCACTACAAAAAGTAATCTTCCCTCTGTTAATACTCACATCTTCTTGTCAACTGTTGGAAATGGGCGATGTCCACCCTGATTGCATTGGCCTCATTAACACTACAAAAGTAATTTCCCACTCTGTTGATATTCACCCCTTCTTGTCAACTGTTGAGAATAGGCCACTTCCACCTTAATTGAATTGGCCTCATTAGCACCGACTCCCCCCCACTTGGTAATGCAACTCTCATCTTTTCATGTGCTGTAATATATATACTGCTTACTGTATTTTTCACTCCATGCATCTGATGAAGTGGGTTTTAGCTCACGAAAGCTTATGCCCAAATAAATTTGTTAGTCTCTAAGGTGACACAAGGACTCCTCGTTGTTTTTGCTGATACAGACTAATACACCTACCACACTGAAACCAGTCTTAGGGTTGGTTTACACTACACAGCCAGGTCCACATAAGGCAGCTTACCTCGACCTAATTATGTCATTACAGCCTTCCTCCCGCCACTACAGTAGTAAGTGCCTACTACACCAACATAATAGCTCCACCGCCACCAGAGGCATTAGGCTTATATCCCTGTAGTTAGGTGTATCACTGCAGACACTGCATCCCTTTCATTGGCTGTTGGCTGTCTTGTTAATTTCAGGGCAGGAGCCCTGAAATTGACAAGAAAGCCAGACAACTAGAGCCCAGCTGCCCCCCTGCTCCCCTGGGAGCCAGGGTAAGAAGCCCACACAGCTTTCCCCCACCCTTCCCCACTTCCAGCTAGGACCAAGCGCAAGAAGCTGGGCAGGGGGACTGAGAAGCCAGGGCAGCTGGAGCCCACTCCCCAAGGCGAGAAGCCCCAGGCGGCTTCCCCTGGCTCCTAGCGGGGAATGGGGAGGGGAGAAGCCCCGGGGGAAGGCTCCTGGCAGGGAATGGGGAGAGGAGAAGTCCTGGCTGCGCAGCTCCTGGCCAGGAACAGGGAGCAGAGGGAGGAGGCAGCCTCCCAGGAGCCCAGGAGGCAGCCGGGCTCCTGGCAGGGAGCTGCCAGCAGAGCCAAGAGATCTCTCAGCACCTTGCACTGCCCCTCTTAGGTTGGTGGAAGCATTCCCTGTGAGAGCGCATACCACCGACCCAAGGAGGGTAGTGTGAACATACACCACCACAGTCATTATTGCGGTGACTGTAAACTGGCCTAATATAGGTCGACTCAAGTTTCTAGTATAGACATAGCCTGAGGCTGGTAAAGTTCTGTTTCTTGCATGATGAAGTTTTACCCATGTTATTTATAAAGAGTTCCATTGTGCCACAAGAGAAAGTTGTCAGCACTCTTCTCCCTGGAGCTGAAGGGGTCTTTTAGATATTCTGGGCGCAGGCCATGTCGTGCCTTGAAGATCAGGCCTTGAACTTTATTTGGTATTCTATGGGAAGCCAATTTAGAGAGGAGAGGAGAGGTATGAGGTGCTTGCAGCAGCCTATCTTGCTGAGGAGACATGGTGCAGTGGTGTATACTAGTTGGAGTTTCCTGAGTGCTGAAGACTTCATGTCCAGGTTTATCACATTGCTGTAGTTCAGCTGAGAGGTGATGAAGGCATGAATAACTGAGGCCAGGTCATCGTTGACCAACATGGGATGGCATCTTCTAGCCAATTGGAGATGATAGAATGAGTCACTCTCAGATACTTCTGTGTGAGAGCTTAGCATCAGCAAGGAGTCCAGACTGAATTGAGCAATTTTGGGTGTGTACCTTCAGCCAAAGGATTCTGCATGGTGTCTGCAGACTTTTCAAAGGGCTTTCCTCTGGCCACCAGCATCATCTCTTTTTTGCTCTTTTAGGTTCAGCTAAACTTCTCTCAGCTGTTCATCCATGAGCCGATCTCATCCGAGCACTGGGCCAGCTTGATGGCAGTGGTGTGGTCATAAATGGTGAAGGATAGATAGTGTCATCTGCCTATTGGTGGCACTTGAGTTCATGTTGTCTGACCAGTTTGTCTTTGTTTTAGAATCCCCAGGTCACACAGGTCAATTTCAGAGCTGAGAAAAGAAGCCAAGAGTATTGCTTCCTATTCCTGCCAGCCAACCACTGGGAAACACTAGAGCAGTTTGCTCATACCTCTCCTGTGTCAGCTCTCCATCTCATTTTAAATCTCCATTGCAAAGTAAACTTTTTTCCTTTGTAGTTTCTTTCTTGCTCTTCTATTACTTATCTGTGTAATTGTATTACAATGCAACTTCAAATATACAAACAAAATCTTCCTGTTATATGAAACAGTCATGAAAAATCCATACATTACCTGAATCCTCAATTATCTGAACATATTCAATATTCCTCATGACATTTGGATAATCAAGGTTGTACAATATTTATCTCTGAAAAGCATTTTACGATACAGTCTGTATGAAAGAGGCTACAGAAAATAAAACTTCATTGTATTGCACATTTCCCTGTGGCCACAGCAGTTTCCTGGGCAGTGGGGGGAAGGAAAGCATCAACCCCTCTCCTTCCTCCCTGTTGCTCCTGCATGCACTGCCTCTCTGGAGACACAGGTGGGACACACAACGCTTAAGGAACAAGGTGAGGAGGCGAGGGGCGGATGAAGAGGTGGGCCACGAGGTGAGCGGCAGGTGGGGGAGGGGGCGAGGAAGTGAGCGGTGGGCGCGGGAGTAAGGAGATGAGTGGCGAGCCAGCAGCAGAGGAGTGGGGGGATCTGGTGGTGAGCGGGGTGGGGAGTGAGGAGGCGAGCGGGGTGGGGAGTGAGGAGGTGAGTGATGGGCAGACGGTGGGGTGAGGAGGCGAGTGGCAGGGAGGGCTGGTGAGGAGAAAAAAGTGTCAGTGCGGCCACCAGCAAGAGTTGGTGGCTGCACTCTGAGGCCACCAAAAATTTTGTTGCAAGAACCCCTAGTGGCCTATATAGAGGTCTTTAGAGACAGTGGACTTTGATATGTCTTTGGGGTATTATATTTGGGATTATATAATATACCAATTAAGCAAATGTTTTTAATAATGTTGAATGTTTCATTCTCTAAATCTTAACATGTTTTTCTTTGTTTTAGAATTCCAAGTATTGTGCAATAATACAGGCTATAAGGTGCTGTTCTGCAATATACACATGCCTCATCTATGTCATAAAGTGTCCTTCCGCATACTAGTACTGGAATGTTGGAGATCTCTGGCCAAATGTCCCATTTGATAGCTATACTTATAGGCCCTCTGAGCCTGCCAGTCAGGTTCTATACTAGGAACCCATTAGTCCAGCAGAGCTACTAGCAGCCTCCCTTTTGAAGCTGGTAAGGAATGCTCTATTCAATATCAGTCTCAGCAAACTGTCTAATGATTCTAGTTTTTTCCCCAAATGATAGCTGAAAGGTAAGAATTGAATAATGGGTATTATTTAGTTCTTACTTTCCAATAACAACTTATTATTAACAAATTAATAATCTTTTCCGACAGGCTAATGTTTACTATGTATTACAAAAATAGTACAAGCATTATCAATTCGATATTTGGTAATTATGAGAATTGGAAGTAATGGGTTGACTGGAAGTACTGACACATGATGTACCAAACTGTTTTTGCAACTTTATACTGATTTTACAACACGAACATAACATGCTAGACCAGGGGTCGGCAACATTTGGCACGTGGCTCGCCAGGGTAAGCGCCCTGGCAGGCCGGG